CTATCCACGATCACCCAAGTATACCCCCACCTATCCACGATCACCCAAGTATACCCCCACCCAACCACGATCACCCAAGTATATCCCCACCTATCCACGATCACCCAAGTATACCCCCACCCAACCACGATCACCCAAGTATATCCCCACCTATCCATGATCACCCAAGTATATCCACACATATCCACAATGACCCAAGTACACCTCCACTTGGCAAAAATTACTCAAGTACACTCCTACCCTACACACCCTCAACCAATCTCAACCAGCAAACCAATCAAGAATTGTTACCAATCAATCCAAATACTATACAGCCGAGTACTAGTTATCAAGATCGATATCCAAGGATTGGTCAAACAAGTCAAGTTAATACTAACGAAAATACAAACGTTGGTAGTGTTGCCACACAGTTAGACCCAAAAATCCCTGCATTTCAACCCACATCTATGTCCGCATCTCAGCTAACCCAACCTGCCCCTCATTCCACTAATATTATGGAACAGATTCAAAGAGACGGTGTAGAGATTCAAATTAAAGACAGCAAATAGAACTGATGAAGAGAATGTCACTTCCTGCCCCTAAACCACCAGTATTTAGTGGGAACATCATTGAGTTCCCTAAATGGGTCTCGGCATTTGATACCTTAATTGAAGAAGAAGCTATGAAGCCAGGCCACAAACTGTATTACCTCGGAGAATACACTTCAGGATCCGCGCAGAAGATGATAAACGGGTTGTTGGGTCTTCAAACCGAAGATGCCTACAAGCGAGCTAGAAAGATACTTCAAGATCGTTTTGGTGACCCATATAAGATCTACGAGGCATATCATGAACGTCTAAAATCCTGGCCAATCTGCAGTAAAGGTGCCGAGCTTCAAGAGTTAAGTGATTTTTTGGTTTCAACTCAAGAAACAATGAAAACAGTTAAATATCTCAGAGAATTCGATACTTTCTCAGCAATACAAGAGTTGGTGGAAAGACTGCCATCCCATTACAGTAACAAATGGTCACAAAGTGCAAAGAAAGTCGAAGCCAAAAATGGAGAATACACTTTCAATGATCTGGTAGAGTTCGTACAAGAAGCCGCGGCCGACGCAACTCATCCCGTCTTCTCCCAGAGGAGGAATGAGGGTCTTCCCGAAATGCAACGCGCGAATCAGTGCGGCTCATTATTATTCAAGCTATTTATTCTCAACGCGCCGTTCGATTAAAAACTATTGAAATATATTGCGATTTTTGCCGTGAAAATCTCGTTTTCTCAAAGGTATGTTTCGATAATCTTTTTGTTTAGTTATTTAATAAAAGAAGTTTTGACTAATTTTGTATATATATTGCATTTTACTTATGTTAAATTCTCATTGTATTTATGCATGTTTTGGGTGTCGGAAATGTGGCCTTGAAATATTCTGGACTAAATTGTACTTTTTTACAAGGAAACTAAAATAAAATTACATCGGTGAATTCAGGAATGTTTACTCTTTATAGTGATACTTGAAAACATGAATTTACTCCATAAAACCGAAGAGTTATCGCGGTTTGAAAATGAGCTATTTTTGCAATATTCGATAATTAACAAAAATAGCTCATTTTCAAACCGCGATAACTCTTCGGTTTTATGGAGTAAATTCATGTTTTAAAGTATCAATATAAAGAGTAAACTTTCCTGAATTCACTGATGTAATTTTATTTTAGTTTCCTTGTAAAAAAGTACAATTTACTCCAGAATATTTCAAGGCCACTTTTCCAACACCCAAAACATGCATAAATACAATGAGAATTTCACATAAGTAAAATGCAATATATATACAAAATTAGTCAAAACTTCTTTTATTAAATAACTAAACAAAAAGATTATCGAAACATACCTTTGAGAAAACGAGATTTTCACTGCAAAAATCGCAATATATTTCAACAGTTTTTAATCGAACGGCGCGTTGAGAATAAATAGCTTGAATAATAATGAGCCGCACTGATTCCCGCGTTGCATTTCGGGAAGACCCTCATTCCTCCTCTGGTCTTCTCCCATGAAGCCCTGATATCCAAGAGGAGAAAAATCCAGAAAGATGCGAAGCAAGACGATAAGAAATTCGATAAGAAAAGGAAGTACGGTTCCTTCTCTACATACAAACACTCAGAGCAAAGTCACGGTTACGGTACTGTTAAGAAAGGACAGGATGTTTGTCCCCTGTGCGACAAACAGCACAAGCTTGAAGTCTGTGATGAATTCCTAAAGAAGAAGGTCAAAGAAAGAACCGAGTTTGCCAAATCAAAGGGACTTTGCTTCTCATGCCTACAACAAGGTCACATGGCAAGACAGTGCAAAGGAGATATCAAGTGTCGTACTTGCAAGAAACCTCACACGACCGTTCTTCATTTCGAATCTAAGCCCAACCCTAACGCAGAAAAGGTGAAAGAAGCAGACCACGTAACACATAATTGCGCTAAAGTCTGCCACGTAAGCGATAATTGTCAAGAATTTCCAACGAGTTCATTGATCATACCCGTGTGGATATGTCATAAAGACATCCCGAGTAAGAAAGTGATGAAGTACGCAGTATTGGATGATCAAAGCGATCCTTGCTTTATCACAGACGGTGTTTGCAAGGAACTGGGAGTTAATGGTCCTGAAATAGTTATAGAACTAGGAACAATGCACACTGTTCAAGACATCAAGACCCAGAAAATCAGTGGATAGATTATTTCACCAGAAGACGAATCGGTTGATATTCCTCTTCCCAAGTCGTTTTCAAGAGAGCAGATCCCAGCACAACGAGATCAAATTCCTACCGCCGACATGGCAAGAAATTGGAGCCACCTAAGACCAATTGCGAAAGAGATTCCTGCATATCGCGAGGACTTTGACATCGGGCTGCTGATTGGAAACAACTGTGTGCAAGCCATTAAACCACGCGATGTTATCCCTGGAAACCCACGAGACCCGTATGCTGTCCGAACAGTGCTTGGATGGGGTCTGATTGGCGCAACGAATCAGAGTCACAAGCATCACAACACTGACATCTCCAACTGTCATCGAATACAAACTCGAGATATTGCATCTCAAGATTCTCCAGAGTTAAATTTCATTTCACGTAAGCCGACCAAGGAAGTGTTAAACCCCAATGCAGTACGAAGAATGTTCGAACAGGACTGTTCTGAAAGGAACGGAGAAGGGAAATCCTTATCACAAGAAGATAGAAGATTCTTAGAAAAAACAAAGGCAAGTGAGCTCATCAACAATGCCACATGGATCAACGGTCCAGAGTTTCTGTACGAGCAACACGAAGACTGGAGTGAATATCATCAGCCAAGCGACTTAACAAAACTTCTACCCGATGATGTGGAAGTAAAGAAGGCATCCGTGCTAACGACGTCTGCAAAGGAGATGCCGAGCATGGTCGAAAGATTAGAATACTTCTCCAGCTTGCATCGTGCAAAGAGAGCCTATGCTGTTTGCCTGCGTTACTGTCGACTACTTCTCGCGAGAGTTCGAAAGAAAGAAAAGCCGAACAACGCAGAACCAGAAGTCCAGTCCAACCGGAAGTACATACCCGTTTCGGTGGAAGAAATGGAGTTAGCAGAGCAATATATCGTGAAATTAGTTCAGAAACAAGCCTTTAGCAAGGAACTGAGCTCGCTGAAACAAGAAAAGGAAGATCAAAATCACTCAAGATCCGAGAGAAAGAAACGGGTGGTGTCCAAATCAAGTACCTTATTGCAACTAGATCCCTTCATCGACGAGAATGGATTAATAAGGGTGGGAGGAAGAATAAGAAGTGCGAGCATCGATGACAAAGCGAAACATCCGATCGTGCTACCGAAGAAGGAGTACTTATCAGAGCTCGTCGTGCGACAACTTCACGAAAGAGTCGAACACCAAGGACGGGGGATTACAATGAACGAAGTCCGATCATCTGGATATTGGATAATTGGTGGAAAGTCAGTCGTCGCGAAGCTCATCAAGAAATGTGCAACATGCCAGAGATTACGTGCTACCGTAAAGGATCAGAAAATGGCGGACCTTCCAAAGGAAAGATTAGAAGCTTCTCCTCCTTTCACATATAGTGCCGTGGACTACTTCGGACCGTGGTATATAAAGCAAGGAAGGAAGGAAATGAAGAGATACGGCGTACTTTTCACGTGCATGTCTTCTCGAGCCATTCATCTGGAAGTTTCAGAGACCCTTGAAACTGACTCGTTCTTAAACGCCTATCGACGTTTTGTCTGCAGAAGAGGTCCCATTCGCCAACTCAGATGCGATTGTGGAACTAATTTCGTCGGTGCAAGTGCGGAGTTACGAAAGTGTCTCGAAGAAATGAACCAAGAAAGAATTAAAGCCGAGCTGCTGAAGGAGAACTGTGACTGGTTCGACTTTAAATTCAATACTCCCAAAGCCAGTCACATGGGTGGAGTTTGGGAGAGGCAGATTAGAACTGTCCGTAACGTTTTAAATGCAATCCTTCACAAGAATGGATATCAACTAAATGAGGAATCTCTTCGTACGTTTATGTGCGAAGCCGAATCAATCGTTAACAGCCGCCCGCTCACGGTCGACAACTTAAGTTCTCCTGACTGTCCAGAGCCCTTGACGCCTAATCATCTCCTCACGATGAAAAGTAAGATAGTTCTTCCACCTCCTGGAGTGTTTCAAACGGCGGATATGTACTTGCGTAAGCACTGGAAACGAGTGCAACACCTTAGCAATGAATTCTGGACGCGGTGGAGGAAAGAGTTTTTGCATGCTTTACAAGAACGACAAAAATGGTTCCGTCCAAGAAGAAATTTCAAGGTTGATGACGTTGTCGTGATTAAAGATAATGATACACCTCGGAGTCGTTGGTCGTTAGCTCGTGTGGTAAAGGCCGACGAAGAAGAAGACGGTTTAGTCCGTAAAGTGAAGCTTGCTGTCGGAGATCGGAAGATCACGAACCAAGGAAAGAGGACAAACTCATTGAGAACACTAGAACGTCCAATCCACAAACTGGTGTTGTTAGTACCATGTGAACAATGACCGGGAATCCCTGACGAGGAGCCTTTCAAGTATCGAGATTTTTACTTCAAATTCTGTTATGTTATGTTTATGATTGCGTAAATTTTAGCAAATTTAGGGGAGCCATGTAACTGCTATCGCGTGGCGTGCGCGCGTGTGCGTCGCGAACTTTAGATCACGTGACTGTCCTCGAGGTCTAGAAATATTTACTTAGAACAAGAAGACATTTTATATTTACGAAGACTTTAAAATGTGATTTATAGCATGATATAAAGGATGTAAGAAATCTACGGTTTGCCCGGAACCGTTGTTTACCTTTTCTTTTACTTTCTATTAAAGTTACGAGTTAAAACAACGTTTTTGTGGGCATGTTATTTGCGTGAAACGACAAGAACATTATATTTGTCTTTCACCTAATTAATACTTTGCCACATGATGCACAAACATTTGACGAGTCGTTCGATTTACCCAATTTGTCCGCTCGTTACAAGCCACGAACAATTTGTCTGCTCGTCACCAAACCACGATACCATGCACATGCAGATCAAATATTAGGAATGCATATAATTACCATTTATTACCTAATTCTTTTAATAATTGCCTATTCACGGATAAAAATATTTAGCTACCTTCCATAATCCGCGCACAACATTGATCAAATTTTATAAGGAATACATATACAGAATTGCGTCGTTCTTTCGAAAACCACACAAAATTGAAAGTCAACTTCCATAAGCCACGCATAACTCAACAAAAATATATATTTATATTTGAGCTCTTATTTTGCAATGAGCTGTATTAAAATAAGTATATGTTTAAATATTAAAGATAAAGAAGATATAAAAGTTATTCACAGGTTTCACCGCAACGACAACGACAAATTAAAAAATCTATAGCGCATATACATTGCTGTTCTATATGCGCTAGACTATTTCCCCAAACACGCGTGCGATTTTTCATTAATACTTTTCGAACCGTGTAATTTACTTTACAAATTTTTCAAACTTTTTACTAACATTGCTTAATTGATACAAATCAGGCATTCTTTGTTTTTCAACAAATATATCTAGTCAAAAATTGGTTAGTCAGTTTTAGCTTGTTGTAGTTCACATTGGGTTTATAACATGCAACTTTGCGTCTCAAATTTACTGTCGTTGTGTTTGAATTACGTAAAATGTACTTTTGAAAGTGAGCCGCTTTGATGTTCTGTACTCCTAATACAGTTATTTTCTTCTAGAGTACACTGACCCGCAACCTCTTGGGCTTGAAAATGGCAATATCTCAGATAGTCAATTCTCGTCATCATCTAAGTATAACTCCCTAAATGGACCTCATAATGCGAGGTTGAATTTAAAAGCAGTAACAGATGTGCGGGCCGGAGGTTAGTTACAATAGATTGTTTGATCTGTAACACAGGTCGATACTATCGGATTGTAGAAGTTGATATGTATGGATACAATTTATCTAAATCAAACGACTGGATATTACTGTACACTTGTTTTGATTTGTTGATCTGTTCAAAAATGAAACACACTGAATAGTCGACTGAAAAGTTCAGTGTCTCGATTATCATCATCATTAATACCGACAGTGTCTCGAGCGTCAAACAATACATGCATTCCTTCCATTGTTATCATTGTTTACTAGGGATTTGTTTTTATGATTACATGTCGAAACTATTTCCGATTTTTTGTTAACTAAAAATTGTTTGTTTTTTCTTCAAAATACAGAGTTTTTCCTCTAAACATAAATTACATCTTTTTTATCCTTCCGTACAAGAAATAGCGCGTTTTAGTATTGACCAGGTCATATCGAAATCTTGTTTGTTTTCTTTTTATTTCCAAATATATTTCGAAAGTTCTCTATTGTTTGAGTATTTTTTGTGATTGATAAACCTTTTGTGGTTTCGGTATCGCTTTTAAAGGTGGTTGCTGTCATACCGATGTAGTACTTTCTCTTGTTTGTGTTGCTTGTTGTGACAGTTACCTTGTTTACTATGTCCTTAGTCTAGCATTTTTTCCGGAGAGTGTTTTACGATGCTAGGTCGGTGTCTGTCTGTGTCGGTCTATGTTTAATGGATCTAATAATATGGATGTCTACGTATAATGGATAATTGGGTTTCCTATAAGGTTCATTGTATTTTCAATTGCTGAGGTCGAACGTGACATCTAAGAAGTGTATTACACTACACGTAAATTTGCCTCTGCTGTGACTTTTAATTGCTCAAACGTTTTGTGGAGTTCTTTTCTCGCTGAACGCTAACGTTCACAACCAGTGGTATAGTGTCAATTCAGTTGATCAATTGCAGAATTTGGAGATTTATGTATAAATTTTATCCAACAAAATGACTTTATAAATTCACGTGTTGTCTTTTGAGTTGCGAAATTTATGTGAACCAAAGTCATTCATGCGCATCGTCTGCGCATGGGCAGTTATACGTTAGTCAGATATTTCGCAAGTCAGAAATTTCGCGTTACACCGGGACATCGCCAGTCACCACCTTTACATACTACATCGTCGCATTGCTAGTGTGCGATGGAGCCCCTTCTTGTTGCCACCACATGGTATTTCTATCGATGCCATGAATGAAGGCGAAAATCTCCATGGATCACGTTAATTGTAACAGATGATTCGCATATACTCTCTGCATGGTGTCAACGTTTCCTTCAACAAAGTGGGGACCAAAACAATCCATGCCCTTGTCAAACCAAACCATACCACTTAAAGAAATTCAACATAGTGATCGGGCGGATGCCCATCGCAATGCAATGCGTATTTTCTAACATTCCTTGTGTTATTTTCTTAATGTAAACTGAAAACTATTTCATTTGAGACTACTATAAGGTGTTTACAAACCGATTACAGAACGCAAAACGTTCGGCTGGAGCACCATCCTTCAACTTCAGTCTTCGAATTAATACGTACGGATGGAATTTTATGTCCAGTGTAACGTTCCGGCGTGAAACTTGTCTCCCGCGTTTTGCGGTAGAGCCTGTGTAACTAATTCGATATTTTCTTCCATTCTACCCGTCCTTGCTCGGCCGCTTCGTGCTTTATTAAGATTGTCGCAAGTGCCTACTGGCACAAATTGAGATATTTCCTTTACTTTTTACCATAGGTGCCCAACTTGCGGCCGATGATGGTGAAAAATGGTTCCAGGTTGATTTCCTAAAGTGGACCACAGTAACTGGTTCGAAAACACAAGGCCATGATGACGATAATTTTTATGTTAAAAAAATTTCCATTCACTACAGCAATGATGGAATCAATTTTAAGGAACATAAAGAATATGGGAGGACCAAGGTTGGAAATTACGTTTTTTATTATTACCATGACAAAATTACTGGATTCTGATTGGTTGAGAGGAGTACAGTTGTTTCATTAATTGTACTGCAGTACAATTAATGATTTTCCCAAAACAAACAAAATGGCGGAAAGGTATTTTAAACTGACACAAATGTGAAATGAAATTTCCCTAAAGGAACTAGATGAAAATACGAACAAAAGCACTAAATTTTGCTTTAACAAAAGAACTAAATGAAAATACGAACAAAATGCTCGTACAATAGACCTTTCCCCTTATAACCAAAATTTTGATCTAGGCAAGTCTAGACAAATATTTCATCACAGCTTGAAAGAGCATCACAAAATTAGTAATATTCCAAAGTTTCGTTGCGAAATGTTGTAAAATGAGGAAAATAGAGCCTTGCGAAGTTTGCAATTTTCAGTCATTTTGCATTACAAACGGGAAATTGCAGCCTCAACACCCGAATCGTATGTCAATTTCCCGTTTGTAATACAAAATGACTGAAAAACGGCAAACTTCGCAAGGCTCTATTATCCGCATTTTACTAGATTTTGCAACGAAACTTTGGAATATTACTAATTGTGTGATGCTCTTTCAAGCTGTGATGAAATTTTTGTCTAGATCGAAATTTTAGTTATAAGGGGAAAGGTCACTCGCCCCGGCGGCTCGTCCAATTTTGGCAAAATTTCCAAACATCACTCGTACTATTAATCCCTAATTGTACTCGCCATCGCATGATTACCTATACTAATTCATTTTAACAATCTCTAATTTCCACAATCCTTGTCACGCTTTGATTTCATATTTGAATATTGTCTGCTACTACCTTAGTATATAATATCATGCATTTTTTTACGCCATGCACATGCATGTCCAACACCGAACCTACTTGGTCCATACGGTTATAGATCCGACATTATCGATCACGAGTGGGCTTGATTGTAAATTATCCACTTCATTTTCAAATGTATAGGATAGGATAAAACCTTATTTGACTACGCTGGCCACTTCAATCGAAGCTGCTTTCCAAGTGGGGCGTAGATAATTTATGTTACAAAAATATATAAAATACAAAATCGCTAATAATAGTAAGAACTACGAATACAAAATACATATTACAAAACAAATGGTACAATAGTCAAATAGGTAATTCGTCAGACTAACAGAGGAAATATTTCTATTGAAAGAATTTAAAGATTCGCTGTTTCTTACTTGTTCAGGAATGTTATTCCAGATTTTAACCCCACTATGTCGGAAACATTTACTGCTATACTTGGTATTTGTTCGTGGCAGAAAGAGAGACGAATTTGAACCTCGTAAATTATAACTGTGGATTTGGTTAGAATTCTGCAACATTGATGAGAACCTCGACGGTGCCAAATTATTGACAACCTTAAACATGAGCCGGGCCATAATATGTTTTCGCCTTTCTTCCAAGCCTAATTGATCAAGGGCCAGTTGAGATTGCCCAGGCTCATCTTTAAAGTTCATTATAATTCTAGCACATCTGTTGTGAAGTTTTTGTAGTCATTCATACTGGTCTCTACTAATGGGATTCCAAACTTCACGACAGTAGTCGAAATGGGGTTGGACAAGACCATAATAGACTGACATCAAAGTATCGGAATTAGTGAAATCCTTTATCTTTTGCATAGCACTTATTCCAGACGAATTTTTTTAAATATGGTCAATATCACTGTCCCAAGTTAAAAATGGATCAATATTGACTACAAGAGCTTTTGTAACCTGAAACCCTTTAATTGGTTCGTCCCCAATAAAAACACGCGGTTGTTCTTCCAGTGTGTTAATATTGTGTCGTGATCCAATCAAAATGTATTCCGTTTTCTCTGATATTATTGAGATCAGCATTAATGGCCACCTCAGTTCATCAATTGATTTACCGGACACTGTGATATTGGTATCTTCGGCGCGAACATACGTGCTGTAGAGTGTTGTAAGCAGTTCGATAAATCATTGATATAAATTAAAAACAGAAGTGTACCCAAAATTGAATCCTGGGGTACTCCATGGAAACGTAGAAAATTTGCCATTTACTTGACATTGCTGAGATCGATCTGTTAAGTAAGATTTGAATAGCATAAGAGGCGTATTGTTGATACCATATAACTCGAGTTTAGCCAGTAATATGTCGTGGTTTACCGTGTCAAATGCTTTTTTTAAATCGAGAAAAAACGACAAGATTGCGGCAGTATAACTATATAACTGTTTTGTTCTCTAAAAGTGATAAAAACAACTGTTTAGGCAGTTCAACACCTAAAATAAACAAAGTGCGCTATTCGCATCGAAGCATGTACGTTGAATGTAATTATAAGCAATTTTTAAATTAGTTTTAAAACTTGCCACAACCTCGTCAAATTTTGTTTTGGCTGATTGAGCATAATTCCATAGTTAAATTGCAAATCTTCAGTATATTAGTGGTTTATATTGCTAATATACTTTAATTCTGCTTGAACCTGATAGGTATATCCAGCAAACTACGACCAGACAACGATTGTGGACCAACGCCTGAACCGAGTTTTATTGGTTCGCTTCCTACGTATTATCCCCCTAGAATGGATAGGGTTACGAGTTTCGATAAGGATGGAATTTCTTGGCTCGTACACGGTGGGCATAAAAGACAGCGAATTTGGCCAAGTACATATAACTTTCTCTCGTTAGTTTGGAATATCACGAAACTCCGTTACAGGATAGAACTTGACATTCCTAAAAATCGTATGTTTTTTGTTTTTCGATTTTGTTACATTTTGGTGGGAAAATGACGTTCCAACTTTGGCGCCAAAAAATTAAACACGAGCTAAGAACATGCTAGTAACTTTTTCGAAAAGATTGTCCCATAAGGATCTCAAAACTGTAAAAACATTGAAAATACAACAAGGCAATGCGAAGATATGGCGATTCAAAGTTCTATTTTTACTGAAAAATCAGCCATTTTGTTACTAAAAATAGATTTTTTTCGAACATTGAAACGCCATATCTTCGCATTGCCTTGTTGTATTTTTAATGTTTTTACAGTTTTGAGATCCTTATAGGACAATCTTTTCGAAAAAGTTACTGGCATGTTCTTAGCTCGTGTTTAATTTTTTGGCGCCAAAGTGGGCACGTCATTTTCCCGCCAAAATGTAACAAAATCGAAAAACAAAAAACATACGATTTTTAGGAATGTTAAGTTCTATCCTGTGAGGGAGGTTTGTGATATTCCAAACTAACGAGAGAAAGTTATATGTACTTGGCCAAATTCGCTGTCTTTTATGCCCACCGTGGTATGTCGGTAAGTTATTATGTCCTCAAACTATGCTCTAATTAATGTACACAAGATACATATATAATCCCTGAAAGTATAAAACAAACTTAAAAGATGCTAAGGCCTATAGAACTGAATGACCCGGTTATACTAGAGGTATGCAGATGACCCATCTGGACGAACGTTCTAGGGTCTCATTAACTCTCATTCTCGTCTCACCGGGGCTTTATGTTATCACTAAGGAGTAACGATCATCATTATAAAACTCGTATGGTATAAATTTTTTATACGAAGAATCTTTTTATTGGAAAACTTCCCTTTATTTCCATACGAACATATATAAACGAAACAGGTGAAAACACCATTTATGAACCTTCACGTTCACATGCATATGAGAAAAAATAACAAAAACAAATTCTGGAAGTCATGCACATAATAAAATGCGCGTCATAGGCTTTTTGCTGTGACCTCGAATAGTGTCTAGAAAACGATTTTCATTAAGCATGTCTTGGAACTGAATTATTTTTATGGGAACTAACACTTTCGAACACGATGTGTTCAAATGTGTAAACTTCCCGCACCGTAGATCCACAGTTTTCTCACAAACTGCTATTTTATCTTCAGTAATTTCACGAGGTGAATTGAGAGCCTGCACTGATGATAAACAATTTTGAATATCTGCCCCGTAACGTTCGTTTTTCCAAATAATTATGGAATGTCTATCCTTATATGGCGTTGTTCACAACTTTCGTGTAAACTAAATTTAGACAGTGCAAACTAAATTTAGACCGTGTAAACTAAATTTAGACCGTACAGTTTACACTGTTTTGCAGAATATAAGATATTCAAGCAAAAGTTCAAATGTTTTAAATACTGTTTTCTCAAAAATTAAGATGGCCAAGACCAATTTGATCAGTTAATGTGTTTTTTTTTATGCATAGTGCTTCAGCAGTTGAGATATATAGAGCTCAGCGGAAACATATAAATTATAGCATCTGACCAATGAGAATTTCGCGTCGCGATTTGAGACGCAGATATTCAAATTCATTAGTCATCGATGCAGTCTCTCAATTCAGCATGGGAGCCTGCATGTTCGCAGGGTAACGATTGCAAACTCAAAATCACTAATTCCTATGAACCAGTCTCTACATTGAACAAAAGACCGTTTTGCTTGGATCATTTTGAGTTATCTAATTTTAAACGCGTTGGACGTAAACAACATTATCTTGTCTACAACTTTGGGAAGCTACAAGTATCGCTTTGTAACATCCTCAGTTCTGGCTGTATATCTCTATAAAATCACAAGGACGTCAATGTTAGGTCGTTGGGCTATATCTCTGGGATGAGAAATAATTCTTTACATGCGATCAAAATGTTTTACGATATAAATCGGTAATCTTATGGAATGGGTCAGCATTTATATATCCAACACAGTTTCTGAGATGTAATTCAAGATGTAACTTATCATTGCATTTGAACTATTATATCAGTTGGTGTTATTCTGTGCGATAAGCGAATATTATTGGAAAGAGGGCTGCCATATATGTTAAAGTCACCAAATAAACAGCTTATGCACAAATTTCTCCATTCGTCGTAAGTTTACAGAGCAGATTTCATTCCTTGGCACTGATTTTGTCTTTGATGTGAACATTTATCTTCTAGTTTAAGGTTATTTAAGATTGATCCTGTCGCAAGTCTTCTACCAGCAACCAATGGACAATATTTCATTTTAGTGTTGTCTTTGCCGTTACGTTGGCTTCGCATTATAGCAAGTTTATACATGCCCATAGCATTATAAACTTAAGTTAATGAAACAAGCGTTAGGACAAGAGTAAAGTTGTGCAAAGTCTCCTGGAGTACAAAGGTCTGGTACAAAGGTCAATCTGTGAATCATGTGATCATACACGTGCAAAGCACAAGGCTGAATTAACAACAAACCATTGTCAAATCTCTTCCCATGCATGTGCGGGAAAATAGACCAATCAGGTTTCACCTCTTCGTCTGAATAGTTTCCTGCTTGGATCAGTAAGCCTCATTGTGTCACTTGAAAGCAAAATTGTATGACCTCTGCGGCAAAGTTTTGTTTTAATACCTTGATTGCGTCAACATAGTTATTTTACAGGCAAGTGACATCGCCAAAAGGCTTAGCATTAACTTCCTTATAGTTCCTTGTGATTTTATAGAGATATCGCTAGAACTGAGGATTTTGGAATGCGTTATCTGTACCTTCTCAAAGTTGTAGACAAGATATGTCGTTCGTCCAACGCGCATAAGATTAAATAACTCAAAATGATTCGAGCAAAACTGTCTTTTGTTAAAAGGAAGACCGGTTATTAATAGAATTTTTTTTTTTTTTAGTAATACAGGGTGTATAAAAAAAACAGAGTCCTCACGTGAAGTGTAAAAATGAAAGCGAGTATGAAAGTTAGACGTTTATATACTTGCATTCTTTCGAAATCGCGATCTTTCGGCTATTTTATATACTTTATTTTACATAATTTGGACTTATTTCTGGCGAGCTGTGTCAATTTAAGTAAGTGCAATTGGAAAATTAAAAAAACGTGGATGTGATGAATTCGCAATTTATTTAAACGTTCCAAAAAATAAGTTGGAAGTACACATTTACTCAACGTGGCCTCCATTTCTAAGTTCACACAAGTTCGTTCTTTGTCTCATATCCAAGACCACTCTTCTTCTTTCCGAGTTTCCTTTATTTCGATTTAAACTTTATGGGGTGGTTCTTCCATTTAATGCATGCAGCCGGTATTTGTTGACATTACGCCAAACGCTCGATGAAGATTACGTCCTGGAAAAGCTTTTTGTTTCGAAATACTTTTCAACAATGAATGTTCTTTCCGGAATTGTTAGCTTTGGCATTATGAATGGTGATTGTAAAGTTTTAATTAAACATCAACGTTCTAAATTTTAGCAAACTACCTTCGAAGATTAATATTTCTTCGAAGATTAATATTTCGAAGCATCTAAAAACGAGCGCTTGTACTAAATTATTTTTATTGCGATTAGCCTTAGTTCAAAATTTTCAAGAAACCCTTCATCCGAAAGATGAAAAAACAAGCTTTAAATTGAGCACAAAACGAAACTATGGTAGTTTATTTTACGATAGAAATAAGGATATTTAGGACGACTCCGTTTTTTTTTATACACCCTGTATAATCGTGTGTCGTCATCGTCGTTGAACAATGAAATAATTTGTTGTGAAATTAGCGAGGATAAAATAGCAGTTTGTGAGAAAACTGCGAGTCTATACGGCGCGGGAATTTTTCTGATTTGAAGTCAGCGTGCTTGAACGTGCATGTTAGTTCCCGTAAAAATATTTCAGTTTCAAGACATGCTTAATGAAAGTGAACGATATCGGGAGGCAACAAACGGCCTATTAATTTAAGAAACAATTTTGGCAACGTGTTGATGTTAATATGATATAGAGAATAATACATGGGTGCGCGGAAATACCAGATTTATTTCGAGTGTTGAACATGATATATCACGAGTGAGAGCAGCGAATGAGTGAGATATCATGTTCAACACGAGAAAAAAACTTTACCCTAAACAAGAGTAACAGAGTAAGAGTAAACTTACATAGTTCATAGTTGTGTGGAATTGTCAAACTATTAACGTTGGATAATGTGATATATAACAAAGCAGGAAAACTCTGTCAGTGAACGGTTCGCTGTAAGCGTATAACTTAAAATTACAATTGCCTCGAACATTTTTATGTATATTATTAATCCATAATAGGATGGTTTCTCGTGAAATTTGGGTAAAACAAGCACCCGTGAGATTTTCAAAGATCTCAAATAGCACTCGTTTGATGCTCTTTGAAAAACTCCCTCGTGCATGTTTTATCCAAATTGCACTTGGAACTATCCTATTACGTGTGCTAAGGTGTTCTCTTCGGATGTGATTACCAAAGCATTAATCCAACCAGGGGCGTAGGAACCGGGGGGCCAGGGGGGCCATAGCCCCCCCCAAGTTTTGGCAAGTGCCCTTTTTACAGGAGCAAAGTGCCCTTTTTGTGCCTGAAAAATTTTCATACAATTCGCAGTTTTTGTCCAAACGAAACGTTTGAAAACTGTAATGTAGGTTTTTTCCCGAAAAATGTTTTAGTTTCCGATAAAAATATCATATATTTGTTTTTCGGGAAAAAATTTTTAGTATTTAAGGAAAAATATGGTATGTCCGGAAAAATTTTTTACCCCTAAAATGGTACACTGACCGAAATTTTTGAGAGAGGTCGCCAAAAATGTTTTTTGAGATGCCCTTTTTTTTTGAAAGTGCCCCTCAAAGCCTGGCCCCCCCAACTTTTCTAAGCTTCCTACGCCCCTGAATCCAACAATTTGTTTACTTTTGATTTTCTATGTATAAGAATTTCCATTCAGTTCAAGTTAAGAGAGCTCGAGGATTAGGAATAACTTCTTTTATCTTTTAGATACCGATTGGTTTGAACCAGTTGCACTTGGCATGGAATCCCGTTTGATTGTCGATTCTCAATTGGCCGTGTCGTCCTTCAAGGATTCTAAGACATCTGGACCTGGTCAAGCGAGACTGAACGTGAATGCAACTACACAAAGCATCAGCACAACAAGGCTGCATATAACTGCACATAACGCAACTATGAACGAAACTACCAACATAACAACTGTGGAAACATCGTATGTTAGACATGGCGGTTGGATAGCAGCAGACGATGACAGTGATCCATGGTTTTAAGTAGATTTCAGAACCAATGTAACAGTTACTGCACTGATAACCCAAGGTCTGGACAGCGGCATTGGATGGGTAACGAATTATACACTTGCTTATGGATATGGTAAAGATAACTTGCAAGATTACAATGTTGACGGAGAAATAAAAGTAATGTTTTATATAATATATTTACATTTACACCGTTCTCAAATGACATATTGCGCAAACCCTTAAAGTGCACCTAACCTCAATTCTTTTTATAACTCATTCTTAAGAACTTCTGAAATTATATAATAACTTACTTTGAAGATATTCGTTTGCATACTTTGTCACTGAGTTACTTCAGTTTTATTGATATGTAAATGTCCGGAATTTACATCACATGTGAACAATGCAGTTATATATCATGAATATAAGAAGGCTGAATGGAATTTTACATAGGTATATGTAATCCTCCCACAACTCCAAACTGCATTTTAATGAATTAAACTGCATAGTGAATACGATATACAAGATTTTAGTTTAATAAGTCATTATGCATTTGTGACGTAAATTCCGGATATTTGAATACCAAACAAACTGAAATATTTAAAGTTTGTTCGTTCACTGCAATCAGGTATATCAATCATGTTTCGCTCGCTACTCTGGCTTAAATAAATGATTACAAAGCCCAGTCGAATTGTAATCAAGACCCAACGTTTTGACACTCCAGTTCTAGTGTCAGGGGTGATCTAAAGTTGCAATCGTGGCTTCTTAAATACCCAAGGGATGACGTCATAAGATTGATGTTTATCGCAAACCCACATACACAGACAAATATTTGTCATACTACTGTCATTACCATAGTAAGCAATAAAAGATCCGTAGCAAAAACTTTGCATCAAAGAGCCAAATCCTTGCCGTCAAACAGTGATTCTCAAGCTAATGAACGTGAATATGTTCTAAATGTTTTAGGGGAGAACGATTACCCAAAACGTTTTCTTAATGATTGCCTGAGATCACCTATTTGTAGGAACCAAAATAACTTAGAGGGTGATACCTCTGTTAAGGGTTATGCAATAGTTCCATACATTCAAGGTGTCGCAGAACCAATCAAGAGAATCTTAAGTAATTGCAATATTAAGGTTGCCTTAAAACCCTATTTGACTTTAGGCCATATTTTCGCAAAGCCAAAAGATCCTGTTAAAACAAATCAGAAAACTCATGCTGTATATTCTATACCATGCGGTGACTGCGAGAAAGAGTATTTGGGTCAGTCTAAACGCCAGTTTGCTAAACGGCTAAAAGAACATCAAAAGGCTGTTTCAACTTTAGACAAGGGAAAATTAGCTTTACCAGAACATCTATATATTACACCAAACACGAGATTGCGTGGGAAAACTCTAAAGTAATTACCATGCACAAACAATCGCTATGGTCAAAGACTTTGCCTAGAAGCGTGGCATATAAATATGAGTAATCATGCTTTGAATAGGGATGACGGTGCCTATTTGCCAGAGGAATACATGCATCGCATTGGCAGGTGACGTCGTTCCTTGGGTACTAGATGGTTCGGCTTTTGAATTAGTATTCATAACTTTCATAAACATCCCTCTAACACGACTTGTTGATCTTTACTGCGATTTACAAGTGCGGACATGTAGCCTTGTTAATTACTCATGAATTTTCAATCACATATAAATTTACTCATTATAATTTTACTCACAATACTCATAGATTTTTGCAGAGATTGTCCAACTGGATTCAGCTTTTAGTCTTCAGCTAATATCGGGAGATTTAATGGTACAAATACATGAAAAACGTTGGTCAATGTTCGAATATTTTTCTTGAAGAGACTTAATAAATATTCAAGATGCAAATTTATCATTCAGCTCCATCAAGCACCATTCAGCGAACATATTCTTCATATTAAGATTTCACTTTCTCTTTGTAAAAGGTATTCACAGCGAACTACAATGGCCGTACCTCAGTAAGGCGAGATTTATATCCATACCTCATTGCTCGTTTTGTTCGTATCAAGCCAAAAATCTGGATTGAATATTGTGCGTTGAGAGTAGAATTCTATGGGCGATATGAAGGTAAGATTTGTTAATCATACAGGAGCATGCCCCAGGATAACATGGCTTCTTTGCTATAACTTGGCTTCAGCGAATGAAGAAATTCATCGCTACTATTTCCTGTGCCTGGTGGTCCAAAACCCACAAAAAATATTTGGTATTAAATTGGGAGCTTCTAAATGATACCATATAGCCGGAAGTATAAATATAAAATGCCGAAGTTTATTTTTTGTCAGTGAAACTAAAGCAATCTGATTGGTTAAAGAGCCTGTTGTAAGTTCCCAGCGCAGTGCCGCCTGTTTTCCGCAAATCAGTTGCTTCTGCTACTTAATGTAAATATATGTATATAGTATTGCTTAAAATACGTCATAGTGATTCATTGTAACTTAAATTAATACCATTATTGATTGAGGCTAATATGTAAATTTAGTGGTAATCAGGTCATAGCGAGACGAGAAAGTCTAAAATCGCGTTGTAAATATATAATCTTTCCAATGAAATAAATCGATAGAATACAGTCCCCGAATGTTATTGTGTGTGAACCAGTGTGTGCGGAGATCAAAGCGAAGATTCTGAAAAACAGTGCTCCTTCGAGCCGGATTTGTGAATTGTGTACGAGGCTGCGAACAAAGAACGTTTGATATTTGCGCTGCCGTCGATAGTGGAAAGATTTGCGTAAAGTTTGAAAACCGAGAGTATGGACGATATGACAAGGAAAAAGTGAGTTAGAGGAGGACACAGAGCATCAGCAAGTACGCTTGTGGCAAAGATAGTTGATGCGATTCTGAAAGCAAGCTCAGAGAGCCCAGAGAAGGACTTAGTATGGCTGAGACAAAGCCAGATTACATTGCGACACAAAATCAAAATGTTGAAAGAGCTCGATGAACAAGTCATTGTTATACTCAGCGCATCGAAAGACGAAGATGTTGACGAACAACTTGGCAAAGAGATCGAGGATTCAGACGAAGAGATCGCAGAATTGGAAAGAACGTTGCTTCAACTCGATGACGAGCTAAGAAAACTCGAAGCAATCCGCCGAAGGAATCCTTGATCCAGTCATATTTCAATATCAAGTGCGGGTAAAATCATAAGAGCGAAGCTTCCGCAACTTAGACTGCGGAATTTCAGCGCAAATATTTGTGAATGGCGAGAATTTTGGGATAGACAACAATGACCAATTGTCGGATGTTGACAAGTTCGCCTATCTGCGCGGATATCTGGAAGGGGCAGCAAAGTCCACCATCGCTGGTCTCTCGTTGACGGCAGCGAATTACAAGTGCGCGGTGGAATTGTTAAAGAAACGGTTCGAAAAGAAAAGCGCAGTCCGACGGGCGCACATAAATGAACTGATACAATTGCCGGCGGTTTATAAAGAAAGAGATACAGAAAGATTGCGGAAGTTTTGAAGAAGATGCGAAGAAGATTGAAGAAAGTGCGAAGCGAACAACCGCGCATTGAAAGCCCTGGGATTGAACGAAGACTCGTATTTAGCCATTGTTGTTCCAACAAGCATGGAAAAGTTGCCAGAACAGTTTCGTTTGACCATCACGCGAGGGCAGACATTTCTGGTATGGTCGTTGGAAGAAATGTTAAACGCTTTTGAGAAGGAACTCGAACTTCGTAAAGCGCACAATGCAGTGGGAACGCATTCGGATCGAGAGCAGGAAAGACACGGGCGAAATTCGGGTAATATAAAGAAATATGGCCAACATTATCACGGAACTGCAGCTGCATTGTTAGCCAAAGAAAGGAGAGGAAACTGTGCCTTCTGTCTGAAGAACCACAACCATGGAGACTGCGACGTGAAAGATCCGAAGACACGAAAGAGTTTGGCTCGTAAATACGGTAGATGTTTTTTTTTGTTTATGCAAGGGCCATAGAGCCAATAATTCAGGTACTGTTAAGAATTGGTGTAACATTTGCAATGGGGCACATCATGTTGCATTGTGTGATGCAATCCCTAAAGAAGACGATAGATGTGATAAAACAGTCAAACCTGACGAAGAATATAAACAAGTCCCTGTTAATACTAATGTGCATGTGACTAGTTCTGGTAGTAACTTGCATGCTGGAACTGGTAGCCTGGTTGACTTGCAAACTGCACGCGGGGTTTTAAGGGGTGAAAGGGTAGCTAAGGTGCGGGTTCTTTTTGATGCGGGAAGTCATCGTTCCCTTGTTACTTCTAAAGCAGCTAGTCTTGTCAATCCCAAGGGCTTAAGACGGGAATTGTTAGGAATTAATACGTTCTGTCAAAAATGTACCAATGCCGAACACAGGCAGGTGGTAGAATTAAAGCTTGAACCTGTTAACGGGAATGTACAGCATTTGTAGAGCCATAAATTTGTAGAATACAGAATGGCGATGTAGAACTAGCAAGAAGAGAATACCCATAATTGAAAGGTATATGGTTTTCAGATGTCTCGAAGTCCCAGAGTGAGCTAGAGATAGATGTGTTGATAGGGGCAGATTACCTCTGGAATTTTCAGACAGGTGTAACCAAGAAGGGTAAATCAGGATAGCCAGTTGCCATAGAAACTGAGCTAGGATGAGTTTTATCAGAGCCTCTGAGAGCACAAGACATAGAGGGAGCAGAGTTAGCCCAAGTAAATTTTGTAGCTCAGAAAAAGAAAAATGACGATAGTTTGGAGAATAATGTACAGCATCTGTGGAGTTTTGAAGGATTAGGTATCTGTGAGGAGATGAGGTTCATGAGGAGTTTTAGACAGCATATCTTTCACAGGTAGTAGATATTCCGTGAAACTACCCTGGAAGGAAAGCCACGACATATTGTTTGACAATTATGCAAATGGCTTAGGTAGAATGATGAATCAGTTGCGACGACTGAAGGAGCCAGCATTGTTGACAGAGTATGATTCTATCATCAGAGAACAGGTACAGCGAGGGATTGTAGAACCAGTAGCAGCATTAGAGAAAGTTGAGAAAGTTCATTATTTACCACAAAGGTTCGGGTTATTTATGATGCTTCGTCTAAGGAATGTAAGTCAGAAAGATCACTTAATGACTGCTTGCATGTTGGGCCATCCCTCAATCCATTATTATATAGCATACTGATACGGTTTAGAGAAAACAGGATTGCTTTAGTAGGCGATATTGAAAAGGCTTTTTTGAATGTGGAGGTTGATGAGGCAGGTCGAGATTGTTTGAGGTTTTTGTGAATAAATGATGTTGAGAGTGATACGTTGGAAACAGTTGTTTATAGGTTTTGCAGAGTACTTTTTGGATTGAATGCATCACCGTTCTTGCTCAATGCAACATTAAGGCATCATGTCTCAAAGTATCTTGAAACAGATCCTGTGTTTGTGCAGAAGGTGCTCGAAAGTTTCTATGTAGATGATTTAGTTAGTGGGGAAAGTACGGTAGATAAGGCATTTCAGTTGTATGATAAGACTATGAGTAGAATGGCACAAGGGGGGTTCAAGCTAAGAATGTGGCCAACTAACAGTAATATATTGAAAATAAAATTAAGGTGCATGAGACAGGCCAATGTGAGATAAAACACATTGTTGAGGATCATCAATCATATGCAAGACTATCCCTTGGAGTAACAGGATGTGAATCAAAATGCCATAAAGTGTTAGGACAGGCATGGGATAACAAAAGCGATGAGTTTAAGTTTGAGAGTGCGAAGGTAGGGGAAACTGCCCTTTCCCGGGCAAATGGTAAAAACCTTATCACCTACAAAGTTTATTTTATCCTCTCGGAATAGTTAGTCCAGTATTTGTATGTGCCAAGATATTGTTCCAAGAAGTATGTAAGGATAAAGTTGATAGGGATGAAAACTTCACTGAGGAGTTACTGCGTTTGTTGGAAGGTTGGTACAGAGATTTATACAAACTAAGAAATTACCACTCCTTGTTGTATATATCAACATCATGCAAAAGTTGTTTTGGAGTGTACCTTGCATGGATTTGGCAATGCGAGCAAGAAGGCATACTGTGCAGTTGTATATTTTGTTTATCGTATTAATGTGAGGGGTTTATGTCCGCTTACTGACATCAAAGGCAAAAGTAGCTCCCATGAAAACAACTAGTATTCCCAGGTTAGAGTTAATGCATTCCAGTGAAGCTCTTAGCGCAGATTATGAAGTAAGTAAAAGGGTCACTTGAGAACCGGGTTAGGATCGACAGTACCAAGGTTTGGCTTGACAGCATGACAGCACTCTACTGGATAATAAACAAGGGTGGGTGGAAACAATTTGTCCACCACCGGTCCAGCGAGTAAATGAGATCCTGAAGCTAACGAACAAAGGGGATTTGGGGCATTGTCCCAAGGTTGAAAATCCTGCTGACATTGGATCTAGAGGTGTAATTGCTTCACAACTGAAAGATAACAAGCTATGAGGGGAGGGGCCAGATTGGCTAATTAAGTTCAAAGAGGAGTGGCCAAAATTTGAGGCTACTGATAAGAAGAAAGTCTGTAGTAATGGTTGTAGAGGCGATAGAGCCGGCTAGTCAAATCAGACAGTGAATGAGTTAATTGAGGCAGAGAGTATATTGATTAAAGTGGTGTAGTTACTTGGCATGGTTGAAAGTGGACAGAAAGTACACCCAGCTGAGTGATAGTTTAGATTTGATGGAAGAGGATGGCATTCTGAGATGTAAAGGTATATTACATAATTCTGAGTTAGAGTTTAATACCAAACACCCAATCTGGCAATCATTATACCCAAGGACCACAGACTGACTGAATTGATTGTCCAGAAGTGTCACAGTGAAGTGCATCATTCTGGTGTATGGGCAACCTTAGGAAGATTAAAGACAAATATTGGGTTGTGAAAGGAAGACAAATGGTGAAGCGGATTTTAGGTAGATGCGTCACCTGTGCGAGATTAGAGGGAAAAGCATATAGTATAGCACAGACGGCAGATTTGCCAGGATTTCGAGTTAGGGAAGCTGCACCCTTTTCTAATGTTGAAATAGATTTTACAGGTACGTCCATCAATTGTTTGTAAAGTGTTGTGCAAAACGTCTAATTAAGGTTTATATAGCATTGTTTTCTTGTTGTATGACTAGAGCTATACATTTGGAGCTAGTTAGGGATTTGTCTGAAGAGATATTTTTATGTTGTCTACGGAGATTTGCTGCTAGGAGAGGAATGCGAAGCCTTATAGTACATGACAATGCCAAAACGTTCAAGGCAGCAGTAAGGGCAGTTAGACAGTTGTTTAACCAACCTAAGTTAAGGCGGAATTGCAAACCGAACGAGTAACATGGAGGTTTACATCTACATCTACATCTGCATATAATTAAGTCGGTAAAATCTACAAATGATATCACATCAACTATTTAAATCTAAAATATCTATGATGTACGGTATATAAAATTCTAAAAAAACGTTCAAGTACATAGGATAAAATACATTAGTCCTGATTGTCAACTAGGTATTCTAGTAGTTCAGACTTGAAAAGTTCAAAGGAATTTAACTCAGCAATCTCTGCTGGTAGACTATTCCAATGCCTTATAGTTCTAGGGAAAAAAGAATAAAAGTACGTGTTCTTTGTGGCTTTGTCTTGTATATATCTATATTGATGGCTTCGCGAGTTCTAAGTTCGGTGTTTGGATTCAGATGAGTCTCGGTGTCGACATCGATTTGCCCTCGGCTCATCTTATATAACAAGGCTAGCCGAGTCATTGTTTTTCTTAGCTCCAAGGTGGTCCATCCTAACTCGTGTAGCATGTCTGTGACACTGGCTGTGGGATGTTAATTGTTGCTACAAAACCGTGCTGCTTTTCTCTGAACTCTCTCAAGAGAAGCGATGTCCTTTTGAAGATAGGGATCCCAAGCAGCACACGTCGCGTATTCAAGTTTTGGGCGTACAATTGCTGTGTATGCAATTTCTTTCACTTTTTTAGGGCAGTTCCAAAGATTTCTTTTCATCATTCCTAAGACTCTGCTTGCTTTACTAGAGATAGTAGAGACATGATTGGACCACTTCAAATCATCATTAAAAGTGACTCCCAAGTATGACATCGATTCAACTTGTTCCAGTTTGACCCCACAGAAGGAATATACCCTCTGGGGTGGTGGTTTCTTGGTAGAAATACAGATAGTTTTACACTTAGAAGGATTAAATGACATTTGCCACTTATTTTGCCACTCTTCGAATTGTTGTAAATCTTCCTGGAGTTGGTCACCATCTTCCTCATTTGACATTACGCCATATAGTAACGCATCATCGGCGAAAAGTCTGATTTGGGACTTCAGATTGTCTGGCAGATCGTTTACGTATAATAAAAATAAAAGTGGTCCCAACACAGTTCCCTGCGGCACTCCAGATGTTACCTGGGTAGGGTGGGAATGCTTGCCTTCACACAGCACTGTTTGAGAACGGTTAGTTAAGAATGACTCAAAACCAACGAAGCAGGGATCCATGGATTCCATAATACTGTAACTTAATAATAAGACGTTTGTGAGGAACGTTATCGAAGGCCTTGCTAAAGTCTAATACTGCGGCTTGGATCGCCTTGGCCATATCATGAATCGCCAGGATTAATTGCGTTACTGTGGATCGTCTTGCTCTGAATCCATGTTGTACATCTGTGAGAATCGCGTGTTGTTCTAGGTGTTTCATCACATGACTATGAATAATATGTTCGAGGACCTTTGATGATATGCAGGTTAGTGAAATAGGTCTGTAATTTGCGGGATCTGATTTGGGACCATTCTTATGCACACCACACACATTAGCATGTTTCCATTTAGATGGTGTACATCCACTATCGATGGAGGTTTGAAAAATTGCTGCCAACATAGGGGCAATTTCCGTTGCATATTCTTTAAGAAACCACGGGGGTATCTCATCTGGGTCACTTGCTTTATGTGGTTTCAAGGACTGTAACTGTTTAATGACACCTGGAATTGTAATAATAATGGCGCCAATGCTCGGTTTCGGGTCTAGACCGACGGGAGGAATATTATTAGGATTTTCGTCTGTAAACACACTAGAAAACTGTTTACTCAGGAGTTCCGATTTCAAATTCCCGTCACTTATAATTCTGCCATCAACTTTGAAGTCAGCTACGCCAGGATCCTCATTTTTTAATTGTTTAATACACGACCAAAAGCGCTTTGGATTTTCTTCTATCGCAGTTCCCAGGAAATCTGAAATATACGTTTCTCTTGTAGACTTCAAGTCCTTTTGCAGTCGTTTCCTAGCAGTCCGAAATTCATTCCAATGTGCAGGGTTTCCTGATTTCTTTGCCTTATTGTAAAGACGCTGTTTAATTATTGTTTTCCTTCTAAGTAAGCGGTTGAACCAGGGGAGGTTGTATCTTGAACTGGACATTTTGTGAGGTATACAAGTATCCATTATACGTCGGATATTTCCTTCAAAGTCCGCCCACATCTTGTCAACTGACACATCGCTTGAATTAGGTTCCTGATGCTGAGTCGTAATTAATGTTTGCAGCTCTTGCTTGATACGAGCAGAATCAGCTTTCTTCTTAATGTAAACTTTACGTTTAACATTTCGTTTCCGCTGGCAAAATGTCTTGACAGTAAATAGGACAATATCATGGTCACTTATACCATCGATGACTTTGACTCCGCCGATAATATCCTTATTATTCGATTAGACGAGGTCCAAGATAATTTGAGTGGTCCCTTGTCGCCTAGTCGGCTCTTTGACAAACTGGATTAAGTCATTGTCATCAAGTACCTCCAGGAGCCTTTTAGACGCTATAGTTAAATCGTCTTGGTCGAGTGGATTATCCCAATTGACGTCTGGTGCATTGAAATCGCCATTGAGGATTACATTGTTCTTATGTAAAGCAGCTCCCATTTTCAATAACGATGTATTTAGCTCTTCAAGACTTTTCATATCAGATATATTTGGTCGATAGTAAGACCCGAAGTAGATAGATTTTGCAGTTCTTATTCCAGCCAACTGACACTGTGTCCATATAATTTCACAATCAGAGTCCCACTCAGAGCGATGGGTCATTATCAGGTCATTCTTTACTGTTTAATTTAGAAAGAGCGCCTTGGTGGGGAGGATTTTTTGAGGGAATGGATCAGAGTCTTAAACGGTGTCTTAGAAAAGTTCTAGGTAATGCTAAATTGACAGTACATGAACTTACCACAGTGCTAGTAGAGACAGAGGGCACATTAAATGCTAGACCATTAACAGATGAGTATGAAGAGAGTGAAGGAGAGGTTTTGACACAATCACACCTAATTTATTGTGGAGCTATTAACTTCATATCACAGAAGGAAGTAGTTAGAGAGGACCGTAGCTGTGGAGAAGGATTTAAGTATATTACGTTGAAATTACAACATTTCTGGAAGAGATGGCAAAATGAGTATCTGACAAGGTTGAGAGAATTTCACAAATGTATGAGTTGAAATGCGAGAAAGAGTGTGAAGAAGCGAGATGTAGTGACAGTGTATGGAGAGGTAATTGGAAATTAGCGAAAGTAGAAGAGCTAATTATAGGTAAGGACAAGGAAGAAAAGCCGGTCCAGAAACTCTACCCGTTAGAGATTCAAGCTCGACCGGGTGGGAAAGGGAAGGAAGGGAATTCCCCTTTAGTTGAGTCAGAAGGTTCCTTGCATAATTTGCATGAGCGTCCAAGACCAACTGCTGCTGTTATTTCCAAAGCGAAGACAAGGGCGATGCTTGATTCATAGATGAATCCTTTATGAATCAAGGTGGGTGGGGTGTTGTAAGTTCCCAGCGCAGTGCCGGCTGTTTTCCACACAGCAGTTGCTTCTGCTACTTAATGTAAATATATGTATATAGTAATGCTTAACATATGTCATAGTGATTCATTGTAACTTAATACCATTATTGATTGAGGCTAATATGTAAATTCAGTGGTAATCAGATCGTAGCGAGACGAGGAAGTCTAAAATCGCGTTGTAAATATATAATCTTTCCAATGAAATAAATCGATAGTATAACAATGTTTAAACTAAAATATCTGCCCGAAGAGTTTGAAAAACGTAGCCTAACGATAGTCAAAATGCGAAAATGAATTGCATCAAGCCGTACAGACTTCATATACTAAGCACGATGTACACCAGAATTGACAATATTTAGAGAGAAAATTAAGCGACTGGAAGTCAGAAACTTATTATAACACTTAACACTTAACACTGAAACCTATATTTTTGTTTTAGTAATTTAGATGCTCAATCAATTCAGTAGCGTAGCGAGCCCGACGATTTACTCCCGCCATGCAAATATTTTCGTGTTCAGTGACTGGGAATTCGAAAACAATCAATTTCTAAAGAAATGAATAACGATAATAATTTTGAATTTGCATAGCGGGACTAAATAAATTGTCGGGCTGGCTACGCCACTGTCAATCATGTATTCGGCCACTTAAAACGGCGAAAAAATATATAGCTCAAACAGATAATGTAAAGGAAATGCTTCCCCCTCATACATCCAATCTTAAGTTAAAATTAGGTTTTTAACTGCAGCAGTGAAAACTTTTCTATAGCCATTTTCTATAGTCATGCATTTTTCACTGACATAAATATAATTGTAAACAAACTCAAACTCTGTGTTTAAAAACACATTTTCGAGCATATTATATCGCTATAATATACGATCAGAAAAATACAAAAATATATAAACAAGATACCTTTTCATTGTCCATTTAGTAGAAAAGCATTTTTAAATCAAAACAGATTCATTTATATGACAGTTTTTGATCAGAAAAACAAGTGCACATGAACATGTCGTTGTCGGAACTAGAGAAGGAACTGAATTTGTCAAAGCCAAAACGCTATGCAAGCATAAACTTTTTATTACAATGCCTTTCTGCTGCCACATTCATGAAACAAGCATAGCTATATGTACATTTTTGCTGAATTTATATGTCTTTTTGTGTGTTTCTTGAATTCTTACCAGTTTTGTCGAGTTTTCGTGTTCATGGTTATCTTTTTGTAATTAGCCTCGCTTTAATCAATATACAACCACACTGATCTCAAATTAGTTCGCATGCAACAATGGAATTTTAACGAATTTAATTTTACATCCGCTAATGTAAAATGAAATTTATTAAAATTCCAGTGTTGTATGCGAACGAATTTAAGATCAGTGCGGTTGTGTTGTGCGAGGTACGTTTTCAAGACCGAGGGTACAGTTTTTCTCACCCGGACCTGGCAGCCGTTAAATAACTTATATTTATGTTAGATTAAATTTTAAGCAACAAATCCTCATCTTGGTGCTTTTTCTTAAACTTTTACACTTTGCCTTAACTAGCATCTGTTGAAAAAATGTTTATTAGCCTGGTAATGCATAAAATATGAAATAATGCAAAATTGAGGTACACATGTTGAGACGCCTTAATTATGATAAATTCGATGATGAATCATGTTGCGCTTCTTTAGCCCCCGCTCTCCCAACTCAAGGTTGGGCTTCTGTCATGGTAAATTACCAAATGTTGTTTCGGGTACAGAATTGAACTGGGGTAGAGGGGGAAACAAAATTTGTTTGTTCAATGTGCATTAGTCTTCCAATATTCGCAGGAACGGTCTCAAAGGTTGTGTCCAAGATTGCAGTTTTCCAATTGGTCAATAGCAGTAGCTAATTTTGGAAATTATAATAGAAAGGCGCAATTGCGAATTAAATTTGAAATTTGTAGCAGATGTTATTTCTATTAGTAAAATTTCCTTAATAATGATTTACCAAATTGTTTTTTTTTGTTCTGGATAGTTGTTTGGGTAATTTTCTGACCTTTTTGGACATTAATTTTAAAAATTATTATCTGGTTTGATGGAATTTGACATGTTATTATTTCTTCACATTATTTGCCACTAGTATAAATTTTGCATACCAAATGAGCTTTCGCGCGTTCTGATTGGCTAGTGGACCGGTAAATCTAACGCAACATTTACTAGCAGACTAGTGGTGTTTTCGAAACTTGTAAAGTGAAAAGTGTATTAAAATTTTATTTCGAGCAAATTATTACATTTCACCAATTTTTTTAGCCATTTCCTGAACAAATTAATTAATGCTAAACAGAAACTATTTTTTAATTCTCAGTCTGGTGAAAAAGTCAGTCCATCATTGTGTTTATATTGTACACAGAAATCGAGCAAAATAACTTTGGATTAAGCATTAAAGTCCACAGGAAAACGTGTGCGTACAAAAAAACACTCCACCGCCCGAAAACAGTTCTATTTCTGAATTTTAATTAATTAATTTTAATGGTTCTGAAAATTTGTGAACTATTTTTTTATCTACTACCTTTTTAAACTTATTTTGTTAAAAATTACAATCAGAAAAATAATTTTGAAAATTCGAAACAACAACGCGCGTGTTATTGCCAGAGATGAGACTGGACCGAGTATAAACCGAGATGCCAACTTCCGGTAGAGTCCCCAGGCAACAACAATCACAGACATGCGTAGAAGGGACTGTATTACTGTAACCTACCTTTAAAATTTTGTTTTCGCAATTATTGACGACATAATTTTGTTGCTATGGCAACCTAAGTGTAGCATATACTTGAACCAGGCATACCATCCACCTGCAAACGTTTCGTCAGATTTCACCAAATGGTTCAGATGATATTGACCGTGAATACTTACCCTAACCGCTTCCCAGTCCCACTCCATCCTGACTGGGCTTTTTAGGTCTCCTGGCCCAGGAGACCTAAAAAGCCCAGTCAGGATGGAGTTAATACATTCCAATGGTCGGGACCCGACCATCTACAACTGTAGCACTGAGTTCAAAATGTAAACAAAACGTTTGTTTACATAACATACTTACATGGTCTTTAATTAAAGAAACTAATTTCTGCCCATTTCTGACAAATCTTCCATTAAGGTTTCACACTAATAAAATAACTTCATATGAAGATATAAACAAACAAAAGACAGTAACTTAATCTCAATTTGGTCCTTTTTTTATATCACCGTTTATGCAATAACAGCAGTGACTAACGCTTAATAGAGCGTCTTGTTGTATAAGTTCTTCCCAGCAGTGGCCTTTCTTTTTCAGGTTGTGAAAATGCAACATCATTGGGTATGGAGAATGGCGCTATTCTTCACAGTCAAGTTACAGCTTCTTCTACAGCCAATTTTAGAAATTCTCCTGCCTTAGCCAGATTAAACTTACAAAAAACTTCTACATATGAGGGGGGTTGGCTCGCAGCTGGTAATGACCTTCATCAATGGCTTCAAGTAGATTTCCTCCAATATGCAAAAGTCACTGCTATTATAACCCAGGGTCTTCAAACGACTACAGCAAATTTTGTGCACAAGTTCACGGTATCCTACGGCAACAATAATGAAAATTTTCAGCAGTACGAGGAATTTGGAATCGTTAAGGTAAACAAAAGCGTTATGTATATATATATATATATATATATATATATATATATATATATATATATATATATATATATATATATATATATATATATATATATATATATATATATATATATATTAGACAACGAAGGTGAGTTGTCTATGAGCGCGCGAATAGTCAACGAGGCGAAGCCGAGTTGACTATTCGCTCAGAGACAACGAGGCTGAGATGTCTAATTCTTTTAGTATAAACCACATAAATAAAACTTAATTTTTAACTTAATTTTTATGTAAAATAATAACTTTTTAACGAAATGAGCGTTTAAATGGCTTCCTTTGGTGACATTTCGCCTCGTCCTTGTTGACAACTACTCAGTGTTGTGAACTCCCAAGATCTCTTGAAAAATACTACTTGTGAGTTTTAAAAAAGTTAAAAACAAAGCAAAGTTTGGCGGCTAATTAAAAGAAAGAAACAAGGCTTAAAAAGTCTTAAAGAGCCTCAGGAACCAGGGTAAAATAGTTCAAAATTTCAAACACAAAATGGCTTCCCGAATTGTTACTAAATAAAGTTTTATTACGTTAACAAGCCGAACAAAAATGCACGCAAAAGAATCCGAATGTAGTTAAAATCTTTAAAATATCTCGAAAATAAAGAAGCAAGCCATTTCCATCATCA